ATTATTAAATATTCAGTTTTTCCGGATGTTGCGTATGCAGTTCATGAAATATTCTGGGATTTGAATCGGACCAATAACGACAGTTGTGACGATTTACCGTACTATTTAGGAAAAAAGTGTATTCGTCAAAAAACACACGTTGAAAAGAAGTTGCTGATCATTTATTGCTTGTTCAGTCATAATTTCACAAAATTGTAATAGTTAAGTTCTTGTACCAGATGCATTTTTTAGGGATGATACTTGTGATTTTTCAATATTTTCTGAATGCTACTTCTCTTGATACCAGATGTTATCACCAACTGTCTTGTGCTCAATGTGGGTTCTTGAACAACATGCTCTAAAATCGCCACCTCTGTACCATTTACTACAGAATTTTCTATTTCACGTTATTTGTTGGTTACTGACCTTGTTTCCCAAAATATACTTGCGATAGGCTTGTCGATTTTGATTGTTAAACAGTTGGGCAATTCTATTAGCACATCCATTGTTCGCAAAAAAAGTGAAATTATTTGCACCTTCTCAGCAATTGAGTAAACCATTATCACTGATATGCCAACTCTCTAACGAAATAAACTACACCTTACACTACTTTACGGCGACCAAAGAATGTCATCTGATTACAATAAAACTAGAATTGTTACAAACATTTCTTTTTTTTTTTTAATAATGTGAAGATTATGTTAAACCGGTTTTGTACTTTTGGTTAGCCACTGTATGGGCTACGCAGATAGTAGCGATGTAAAACTCGCGGCTTATAATCTAGGTAAAAATACCTTTAAAATAAAATATAATTCGACCCCTCTTTGCATTTAAAATTTTAGGGTTGAGTCTTATCCCCGCTAGAGGGTTTCCGTTTAGGGGAGAAAACTGACAAAAAATGTTACTCGTGAGCACTACTAGAGAGCTGTTTCTGACCCTAAATGAACGTTCCTTTTTAACGGTGTTTGATCTGGAGCAACTTCCAAATGTTCTCCCTTCAAGCAGTTGCTCGATAGCGTATGTACAGAGCTCTTGTTAATTGGAGACCGTTATCAGTCGTTCTTTTTTGTAGTCATAGGGTTCTATACAACAAGAATAATACCTTTAAGTCCAAGTTCAACGCTTTGTCAATGACAACTGACGGCGACTTTTTTATCACAAAAAATACAGCTCCGAACAATAATAATTTCAGAAATTATTCTTAAAAATGGGTTCAGAGTACGGTAAAGAATGGTGGAAAGTCTATAAATTGTTTTACTTTTAATGCATAATATTTTAATAAGTGGTATTTAACAAATATTTAAATGTTATGGACTTTCCACCATTTTTTGTAGTATTTAAAAGCTAAAACTCCAAATACACTCTTTTATTTGTGTCCTAATTATTTAAGAAAAATATTTGGTTAAATTCTACAATTTCACCAATAAAAACATCAACAAATTAATATTTGTTATTCATTGTTATTAACTCGCATAATTTTATCAACAATTTTAAGCTGTTTTGATCCGTTAGGGTTGGTCAACCCCTTGCTTGCTCACGGTAAGTTGATCATGCAGCAGCTTTGGTTATTAAAATTAGGGTGGGATGAAATCATCCAAGATCAAAGGGTATTACAAGAATGGAGCGAGTTTTGTAAGAATTTAACTGTTCTGCATGATGTAACGATCCCTAGAAAAGTAATGTTAAACAAAGAAGTTTCACGTGTCGAACTTCATGCATTTTGTGACGCTAGTTCCGTCGCCTATGGTTGTAACATTTATGTACGATCAGCTCATTCGGATAATTCGATCCATTGTTCATTGCTCACGTCAAAATCAAGGGTAGCACCCATTAGTAAAATACTTACCATCCCAAAATTAGAACTGTCGTCAATGGTGTTGTTGTCCAGGTTGGTATCTCGAATCATTCAAAATTTGAAAACAAAGATTCATTTTAATTCTGTCAATTTGTGGACAGATTCACACATTGCTCTGTCTTGGGTAAGGGGACATCCTTCTCGATGGTCAGTTTTCGTCAGCAACCGTGTATCCCAAATCCAAGAACTTACCAACGATTTTCATTGGAGGCATGTAAGATCCGAAAAAAATCCTGCAGATTTGCTGTCTCGAGGACATTTTCAAAAAGACAAGCTTGAGTTCTGGTTCAGTGGGCCACAATTTCTTAAAGAAAATCACACCAATTTTGATCAACTTGATACTTTTAAATTAGTTACAGTTCTCCCAGAATCAAAAAAGACAGTTCTTCAAACTGTACGCGTCACCCCTGACCCCTGGGTCACCACCTTTGATACGTTCAATTCTTTTTCCAAACTTGTCCGATCTTTCGCATATTTGTTTCGTTTTTTGCACAATGTACGCCACCCAGGTGAAAAAATGACAGGAGCCCTTATTACTAGTGAAATTGATAATTCGTTAAAATTTATTTTATCTAAAATTCAATCCAGTTATTTTAGTACAGAAATTACTAGTTTACAAAATCAAAAGCCTTTAACAAATAAACAAATACGATCATTAAACACTTTTATAGACAAACAAAATTTAATTCGAGTAGGAGGAAGGCTTAAGCACTCTGACTTACCTTATGACCACAAGCACCCTATCCTATTGCCAAGTAAATCCAAGATCACATCTCTAATTCTCAAATCAAACCACATCCGTTTGGGTCACAGTAGCCCTCAAAATGTTCTTTCAAATGTTAGATTGCGTTACTGGCCACTAGATGGCTTGCGAGAAATAAAACGAATTATTTCCAAATGCACAACTTGTCATAAATTTCATGCTCAGAAACATTTTCAAATCATGGCAGATCTCCCCTCTTATCATATTACTCAGGCTCAACCATTTCAAAGGGTGGGCGTCGACTTCGGAGGACCTTTCCTCATTAAGTCTTCTACTTTAAAAAAGGCCCCCATTCAAAAATGTTACCTTTCGCTATTTGTATGCATGGTCACAAAGGCTGTTCATTTAGAGCTAGTTTCTGACCTTACCACCGAAGCCTTTTTAGCAGCGCTAAAACGCCTAATTGCCCGTCGAGGGTGCCCAACACTCATTTACAGTGACAATGCCACAAATTTTCAAGGAGCCAAAAATCAGCTCAGAGATCTTCATCAATTTCTAGTTAATGACGATAATATGAAGTCAATCCAGTCTTACCTTCTTGCCACTGAATCAGAGTAGAAGTTCATTCCTCCACATTCACCACATTGGGGTGGATTGTGGAAATCTGCAATAAAAAGTGCAAAATACCACCTTGTTAGGCTTATGGGAAACTCTATTTTCACCTTTGAACAACTATCAACTATGTTCTCACAGATAGAAGCCATCTTAAATAGTAGGCCGCTTTGCCCCTTATCAAACGATCCTTCAGATCTCAACTCACTTACACCAGGACATTTTCTTATAGGCGCACCTTTGATGTCCTTTCCAGAAAAAAATCTCGCCGAGATTCCTTCCAATCGCCTTAAATTTTGGCAACAATGCTCAAAGTTACAACAACAGTTTTGGAATCGATGGAAAGTCGATTACCTTAACAGGTTACAAAACAGGCCCAAATGGATGGAGCCTACACCTGAATTCAAAATCAACGATTTAGTATTGTTAAGGGAAGATGACACCCCTCCATTAAAGTGGCATTTGGCAAGGATATTGGAGTTGATCCCTGGAAAGGATGGCAAATCACGCTCAGTGCGTATCAAAACCCAAGATGGAGTCTACGTGAGACCAATTGTTAAATTGTCCCTTGTGCCCAACACAGAGCTTTAGATTTTAAGTTAGGTACCTACTTTCGCATAAGGTTGTTAAATACGCAATTGGATTAGGTCGAATCCAAATGCTCCACGAAAGGAAACGCTAGGATCTTGATCTGGGATAGATTCGCGAGTGACCTGGTCAATAACCTTACGCCATTTTTCCTTTATTTTTTCTTACTTATTATTTATCAACTTGGTTTTCGTTTTATGAATCTCTCATATGTTTGAAATCATGCGTGGCTTGCGCAACAAACACCTGAGAAACTAAACTTTGTTATTCATACATCGTGTCAGTGCGATAACACTGGCTGGTCCTTCGAGTTTTTTCCAAGATATTTTTATCATTGTTATTCATTTAATTTGTCATCATTCAATGTTGTTTTTCTTTGTGTGGCGCGCACCAGTATGGTTAAATTCTACAATTTCACCAGTAAAAACATCAACAAATTAATATTTTACATCTACTAAATAAATAAACAATTCTCAAATAGTTCGATTGCTTTTTACCCTAATATAATGTGAAGTCATAAAACTATAAATAGCATTTTTCTCAGAATACCGAACGTCGAACACCTGTGTTTTCAGGTGCATAGCGGTGCATTGGAACAAAATGAGTGTCCGGCGCATAGTTAACGAAGCACAAATGACGTATTTCATTATGTCATGATGTTTTCATTGGTTGAAACCGAATAGGTGCGTCAACTATGCCCCGGACACTCATTTCGGTCGAACAGTATATATTAGGGCGAGCTCGACGTGAACGGCATTCAGTAGTTGTCTTATTGCCACCAACGATCAACGATTCAGTTGTCCTTTTGCCATCATCGCGTTCAGGTGCTTTCTGCCGACGGCACGTTACTTTCTACATTTTTACAAGCGTTTAATGCATTTTATTTTCTGGTGAAAGTTATATCTTCTACAATTATTATGGCATAAGAAATTCTACAAACAAATGTTTTTAAGTTGGTAACTAAAAAATCAACTGTATTAGTTAATCAAATTGTGATGAACTAAAATTGTAAATATTTAAAACTGTTTAGTGAAGATAAGAAAATTATTATATCTAAATGGAATCAATTACTATGTATTTACTTCAGTGAAAATAGTAAATTAAGAACACTTCTTTTTCTAGCACTATTATTAATTACTTTTTGTTTTTAAAGAAAGACATAGACAATGCAAGTTTTCACTTTTTTGGTGATCATAAAAACTGCGATATTTATTTTTGTCAGAAGAATACGGATGAAACCAAAAACGAAATAACCAATTTCAGATCTAAACCTGAATTTTTTACAAGACTTTTACAAATTATACATGCTTTGTCAGATCACAGCAGAAGTCTATTACATTATGTTGATAGTAATATTGTGGAACGATTTCATGCGACAGTCGCGAAGTTTGTAGGTGGCAAATCAATTATTCCAGAGGGCGCTCTTACCAAAGTAGATGTTTTGCAGCAGTTTTATCATATAATTCGAAATCGGGAATTCAGATTAAAAAAAAACTTTAAACCGTACTAATCAATCCATAAAATCAAAATCTAATCGCAATTTAAAAAAAAGTTATTCTGCAAAAACCAATAGAACTGATTTAGATTATGGAGAAAATTGTACCAAAAAGGATTTAGATCAAGACATTTATGAAGTAAAAAAACTTCAATTTTTAAACGAATTCCTTTTCATCTGACGTTAAAAGAAATGTAATTCAGGAACAAACTATGTCATAGGCGGATAGCAGGGTTTGGTTTGAAATTCGTAGAAAAATGATTACAGCCTTATACTTTAAAGCAGTGTGTACTAGACGAATTACTACTTTATATAAGCCTTTAGTCAAAAGGATTATTTACCAACCACCAGTCAATGCTGCTCCTATTTCTCATGGCAAAAAGTATGAGAAAACGGCACTTTTGCAGCTTCAAGAGCAGGAAAATATAGTGATTAGAGATTGTGGAATTTTTATTGACAAAAAATATCCATATTTAGGTACGTAACGATCAGTTCACATTTTTACTCACATCTTAACTATAACATATTGCAAATTCTAAATCAAAATAATAATTTTTAAATTTGTAGGTCCTACTCCAGACGGCATTGTAGGAGATGAATTTGTGGTTGAAATAAAATGTCCATACGCTTAGAGATGCATCAAATCAAACAAGTTTGATTTGATAAGTCAAGTTTGATTTGACTTGAAAAATCAATTTTTTTTTTATAAAAGAGTTTGATTTGATTTGAAAATCAATTCCGAAGCTTGATTTGAAATCAAACTTTTTCAAACTGTTTGAAATAGTTTGAAATACGAAAAGTGTTACGTACCGCCACCGGCCGTACCGCATTTTTAATTTCTCAAGGTTACGTAATGAGACGTAGCAGGGATACAGTATCCTGGCCAGTTATCTCTGATCCCGGCTTACGAGGCGTCGTCGTAAGATTATTTGTTTCACTTTTATATTTTTCCAAACGCCGGAGGCACAAAACATAGCCAAAGGCTTACGCTGACCACCTATCTCTTTGGAAACAAATACTAATGAGTGATTTGGAAATGTCTGAGCCTGAACCATTTCAATCCAGCGGTTCAGAATTTATCCCTGATGAAAATGAATATGATTATGAAGCTGAAGCCAATGTAAAGATTCCGAAAATTTTGATATAGATGTAATAGCTTTCTTTCAAACATCTTGTATTAAAAACCCAGACCCAGTCGATAAAAATTCCCGGAAATATGAAATCACAAAATATTTATCTGAAGGCAGGGCTGGCTAATCGTTTAGAAAATGTATTGAATTGGTGGAGGAGGCACGAGACTGTATTTACAATATTATCTAAAATGGCTAGAAATTTCTTATACATACCTGCTACATCGGTATTATTAGAGAGGATTTTTTCAAGAGCTTCTCTAACAATTACCAAACGAAGGAATAGACTAAATGATGAATCTGTTAGATGTTTAATGTCTTTAAATTCTTGGACGGCTAATAGAGTTTTAACAGACTTTATTTCAACATTAAAATGAAGAAAAAATGAAAATGTAAATCAACATTTATAATTTGTGAATCAAGATTTCTGTTCTATTTTAATATCCAACAAACGAAGTATAAATACTTTTTTTTTTCATGTATTAACCAGCTTTTTTTTATATTCAAAAGGAAAGACTTGTATTTCGTGCAAAACTTTTTAATCAATAAATGCAAAGTGCTTTCGGCATTGTGCCATCATCAATGCTTATTGTTCACAAGCATATCCACCAAGTTATTAGTCATCCCCGCTCCCAAAATTAAATATTTCTGGAGATTCCCAACTTGCTAAATCATAAATATTTTCAAATTTAAATTGATTTTTTTTTTTTTTTTTTTTTTTTTTTTATTTGGTGTACGGCTTCAACATCTAAGGTCATTAGCCTAGTGTTCTATGTAGGTTATGGATTGTATTAGTAGTCTAATACTCCATAGTGCAGGAGTATTAGTACTCTAATACTCCTACACCCCTACAGACAGGCCTTGTTACTGTTTCCTTGCGCCACTTTAGGAACAGCACTGTTAATTAGAACCCAACAGTGAATGGTCGAGTGGGGAATCCTACCAAGGCATAAATTGATTTATACATTCATATTATTATTGTTTAACCGACTGTTTCAATGTGACAGTGGTGACAAGCGACACTTAAAGACGATTTAATTATTCAAACTTTCAAACTAGTTTGATCAAAGGTTTGATATTTCAAACTTTAAAATTTTATGGTTTGATTTGATTTGATTCACAGCATTGCTAGATTTGATTTGAGTTTGATTTGAATTCAAGTCAAATTCAAGTCAAACTCTTAAAATCAAATCAAACTCATGCATCTCTACATACGCTGCATATAAAATACAAGAAGCGATTAAATTGAAAAAAATACTCTTTTGGATTTTTAATAAAGACACCTTTAATTTTGACATTAATATCCACCATCAATGGTATTATCAAATACAAGGCCAATTACATATTACAGGACGAAAAGAAAAGGATGCATTTTTGGTGTATAGATAGGTCTCAATTATCCACTTAAAGTGGAATATACCGGGTGTTCAAATTAAAGTGTTACAGCTATACACCGCCTTTTATAAAAAAAAACGTTTCAGACGAAAGTTTTATAGTTTTGTGGGGAAAAATTTTTGGCTAAAATCGTTTTTTATAGCTAACCATAATATGGTCAACTTTTTTTTCGCCTAGCAAAATTTTCAAGTAGCTGTTACTCAAAAAGTAAAAGTCCAATAAAAAAAAATCAAAAGTTTCTTATTTTTTTATGTACTTTAAGAATATGTAAAAAAAATATGGGATTCCCATTTATAAAACACAAAGTCCACCTCAATATGGCCATATTATGGTCAGCTATAAAAAAATGAATTTGACCAAAATGTTTCTCCCAAAAAACTATAAAACTTTTGTCTGAAACTTTTTTTTCTAATATGCATATTTTCGGCGGTATTTAACTGTAACACTTTAATTTGAACACACGGTATAATAAAAAAAGACGATTTCTGGTGTAAAAATTTGGAGGAGAAATTAAAGTTTTATATAAACTGTATGTTGCCAGAATTGGTAGATCAATAATTGGGGAATGTCATTAAGAGAACCTGATTACATCTTAGAAGCTATTCAAAAATTAAAAAATGAAAAACAAAAATAATTACCTCCAAAAAGTCAAATGGGTCCAGTTCTGCAGAAAGCGACCAACCCACAATATACTAAAAATTAGACTAATGCTATATTTCGATTGCTTTTAACCCATTCTTTATTTTGTATAAAGCGACCAACTGATAATATGGAATTTTAGAGGTCAAAACCTTCCTTGATCAATACAAATATTTCTGTAACACAAATTACATTATTGCAGAAAGCATCCAAACCACATGGTCGGTTTCTGTTATTTGTGTAATAACTGTAACAAGCGACCAAGTGGCTTGGATGCATTCTGCAAAATCTAGAACCTTCGCTCAATAAGTGAATAAGTGGGTTGGATGTTTTCTGCAAATAATGAATCCATGCCATAACCACATATAACCTCTAAAACTTCTGTAACAATAGTTCTGTTCTGATACGACTACTTATTTTAATATTGTTGTTTAAAAAAGTGTATTTTTCTATTAAGAATATTAAATAATATTAGTGACAAAGTGTGCCGTAAATATGTTACGAAATCGTGGTTCTAAAGTGATAGAAATAATTATAAGAAAAAAGCAGGAACAAGGTAAGTTCTGTATATTTGATAAATAATAATTATTAGAAGTAAAGTTGATTGATTTTTTATTTATTTATTAGATTTGATATCCGATCCTGATAATAATGACTCTGCTGTTTCTACTAGTAGTAATAGAACTACAGAATTTGATTATAGTGGTCCAGGCTTTGAAGAGGTAGAACTAGAAAAGTTACAGCCAACAAAAATTAGTTTTGGTAAGTAATTAAAGTATTTAGTTCTCTATCAATAAATATACTAATATTAGTTCTTTATATATTTATTACAGATGTATTAATATCTAGCCCTGATAATAACTTATTTATAAAGAAAACTATTCCTGTCTTAGAGGTAGTAAAAGACTTTTTTACCAGTAAGAAAGAAAGTGAAGAACTGAATTATGTGAGCTATCCAGTCGAGATGGAACAGGTACAAGAAGATGCCATGGTCAATACCACACTTTATGGTATAAAACGTAGTAAAGAAAATCAACTACAAGAACCGTTTTCTGGTAAGTACTTGTGTTACCTTAAATTACTAAAAATTTTTTTTAATTTTGAAAATTGTTTATTTGTAGATGTACCAATATCCATCTCAGATGATAATAGTGTTGCGGAGAAAACCCTTGCAGTTATGGAGGCCGTAAAGTTGTCTACTAATCCTAGTGAAATCTGCATTAACAGTGGTGAAAAAGAGTTTGACAATGTGGAAGAAGAAAATGAACCTAAATCTTGGTCAGATGATTCAATAGATAATCCCTCCTATGACCCTCCTGTTCGCCACCATGTTGTAGCTGATGATTCGCCTCATGAATCTGAGGTAGAACTTAATATGACGAAGTCTAATAATGGAAGACCTCGAAAGGGGAGAGAAAGAAAATACCTAGATCAGTCTAGAGCGGAAGGTAAAACAAGAAGAAATAGTAACATGACCTATCTTGACTATAAAGGGCGCAGAAAAGAATCAAAGGATTTTATAGAATTTCACTGTCGGTGTAAATTAAAATCTGCGTAATTTATTTCTCTCGAACTAAGAAAACGCCAATTCGAAAAATTTTGGTCACTGAAATCATATAATTGCCAAAATAATTATATAGCTGCTGCAGTGAGCGAGGTTAAAAAAAAACGAAATTATGGAAGAAATACTGAGAGACGCAATTTTTCAAGATGTTATAAAATAGCAGATAAAATAGTTTGTAGAGAAATGTTTATTAAAACATTTGGTATATCCCCTTGTCGGGTAAATACAGCACTGAAGAAATTTCATGGCCGAGCAGCTTTAGTAGACCAACAAGGTATTAAGCAAGG